CGATCTCCCGGCTCCATGCTTGTCCCATAATGACAAGGTGTTGCAGCAGCTGGAGGTCCAGCTGGGCGCAGGGCAGCCAGGCCCCTCTCGTGGTGCAGGTGCACATTGCCCTGGGGACCGAGGCCAGCTTGCAGTGGCTTCTCAACACTGAGCCAGCTTCCCAGGCCCGAAGGGCTGCAGCGAGTGCTGCTCACCAACAACCAAACACTTTTGGGGATGTGTCCAAAGGCTTCATTAACCTGGCTGAGGCTAAAGTGAACAGCTACTGGGCTCTGAACTTGACCTCTGTGCTCTGCCGGACTTCCAGCATCCTGAAGGCCTTCCCAGACAGTCCCTCAGAAGGACTGTGGTTAACATCTCATCCCTCTGTGTTCTGCATCCCTTTAAGCGCCGAACACTGTACTGTACAGGGAAGGCTGCCCAGTGACATGATGTTCAAGGTCCTGGCCACAGAGAAACCTAGTGTGAGGGTGCTGAGCTATATGCCCCAGGGCCCCCTGGACACAGATATTCAGAAGTTGGCCAGGGAGACATCTATGGATGCAGATTTTTGAAAAAGGCTGCAGGAGCTGAAGACAAAGGGTGGAGCTGGTGCATTGTAGAATTTCAGCCCAGAAACTGCTAAGCTTGCTGCAGAAGGATATGTTCAAGTCTGGAGCCCATGTTGACTTCTATGATAAATAAGCCCATATCCTTGGCTTCCTGGGGCTCTCTGCCCCTTCTTTCAGCATACCCAAAGCCCTGTGCCTCCCTACATCCTGCCACAGTGGCACCACCAACCCTGCTTTACACAGAGGAGCATTCATGTCTACTGTCCTGCTCTCAGACCCAGCCAGCTGTGAGGTCCCTGGGGTGCCCAGTTCTCAGGAGTCTGTGTTGAGCACCCTGGATTAGGAGGAAGCTTGGGAGAGAGAAGTTATGGGCATTGGTGTTCTTTCTCTAGGAATAGAACTTTAAGGATGGGAAAAGTAGGACAAGAAGCTGAAACACTGAAGAGAGGGGGTTGGGTCTCCTGTCCAAGGCCAGTCCATGGGGGAAGGGGGCTAAGCTGTTTCAAATAGGAGGGCCCAGCAGATTCACAGGTGGCCTGGTTGGGGAAGGGGGCAATGCAAATTTTGGCCCACAGGATGCCCTTAACTGTGGAGTCTTAAGATAATGATAAACTATGCATATGCATTTATTTAATTTTAATTAGTCTTGTTTTTTCTATCAAATTCATGGATCTTATAAGAAAAAGCCAATTTAAATAATTGAACGATTTACAAAGCTGTACTCAAAATGCCACATGTATACACCTGTGCAATGACATAGACATCTACACACAGAAAATTATTCCTCACTTACAGACTCAAAGAACTTCCAAGGATCTGGTCTGGAACACCGTTTAATACATGCCCGTTATTTGTAGAGGAACAACAGCATGTTAGGATGATCTTCCAAAATTCCACAGCCAGGTAGTGAAAAATCTGGACTAAATCTTACAGTTTCTTGTCCTGAGAATTCTAATCCTTTAGTTGAGACCATGTCATAGCCCAATACCACAATCATAAATATAGACATATTCTGTGTTTTCTGAAATAATGTCCTAAAATGATCCCTTGCAGGCAATTTGTCCAAGGAAATCACTGTTTCTCATGTGCGTTCATTATGACTCATACTTGTGTAGGGTCTTTGCACAATGTCTGTGCTCCAGGATAAGAGGGAGCTAAGAGACTTAGGTTTCACTTCCTCTGTGAGTATCCATAACTAAGGGAACAACCCCTTCCAACACGACCTGTTTGGGATTCTCAGTCATTGTTAGTTTTCCCAAAACAGTAGGAGCCATCTTCGTTTTATCTCTGCATTCCTCACTGCTCTGAGGTTGTAACAGAAGGTTGATGTTTACTGAAGTGATAGTGTCTGATCTGTAGCTGTCTTTGTGAGTCTCAGCACATACTTCTTTCCTCCATTTGGGCCACCTGTGAAACTAAGGCGAAACCAGATCAAGAAACTTATTGGACAGACATTCAATTTAGGACTGTGTACACCAAGAAATATGTATAATGATGGACTGTTCTCATGGAGGAATTTGAAATATTTTTCTGGGTCAGAGTTATAAAAAGTAAGACTTGAGATTTTACTCATTTAAGCTCTAAATATTCATACTTTCAACTGTGGTGCCTTAAGTAATGATGTAAGCATGAGAATAGAGAACACATATATACAGCGCAAGATATATGTATTAGTCAATCCACCTCTTCCTTCCAGCTAGAAAAAGGGAGAAAGTTCTATGTCAAGGAATGAAAGGAAGTTTATGGTAGAGTTGAGAAGCATTTATGAGAACAAGAGATCAGACAGGAGAACAATTACTAAAGGAGAGTGTGGAGCTTCTTTCTTTAGGGATGTTTGACTGGCTGTTTTTGTTTCTTTGATTTCCACCATTCTTTAGAGGATGTTGGGACTGTTGATCTGTTAAGACTTTTCAATTTTTTTTTTAGTCAAATGTAATATGATCAAAAGGAAATGCAACAGGTATAGACAGAAAATTAATATATTTTAGGAATGTGTATGTTTTTATAAGGATCAAGTAAAGGTCAGGATATTTTAGAGAAATCAGAAAGAGAGAGAATCTGGATCTGAACTCCATCACAAGCTACATCCCAGGGAAGGGGTGAGGAAATATTCATTTTTAACACAGCAGCCAAATTAATCGCAGGTGACTTCAATCTATTATTTAAGCTCTTAATATGATTCTCAATTAGAAACCTCTCTTTGTGCAGGTCTCCTCAGCCCTGAAGGGTCTGAATCTCATCACCTCCATCATCAATGCTCATGGTTAGTAATGCCCTAGTCCTATTAGACTAGATTTTTACTTTCCTAACATGCTAAACCCGTGTCTATCTTAGAGATTTTGAAGTGCTCTTTTCTCTGCTGGGATGATTCTCTTCCTGGTCACTGCATGACCATCTGCTTCTCATCTTGCTCAGATTTTGCTCCCTTTGACAAGTCTTGCCTGCCTACTGTCTGCTGTCACCTCCATGACACATCTAAACCATTTCCATCACATTGCTCTGTCTGATATATTTTTTTCCTGACACTTTTCACTAGAAAGAATAACCTTATAGCCACTGCCCCAGGAGAATGTGGCACCATGAGAGAAGAAATCTCTCTTTATTTTCTTCGCATTATTAGTACCTATATTGTGCCTGAAACACAAAATATACTCAATAGATAGGTCCCGGATGAAAGAATAAATGACTGGGAGAAAGGATGAAGATAAAAAGTGGAGGGAGCCCTGGCCAGTTTGGCTCAGCGGTTAGAGCGTTGGCCTGCGGTCCGGAGAGACCCGGGTTCGGTTCCCGCTAAGGGCACGTACTTTGGTTGCAGTTTGTCCTTGGCCCTGGTTGGTCGTGCGGGTGGCAGCCACTCGATGTGTCCCTTCACGTCGATGTTTCTCTCTCTCTCTCCCTCCCACTCTATCTGTACAAAAAATGGAAAAATATCCTCGGGCGAGGATTAAAAAAAAAAAAAAAGTGGAGGGAGATTGGAACTGGAGGGTAACTGATTACCCCTCTTCTGAGGTGTAGAAGGTGCTGGTCCTAGACTGGGGAAAGTCATATGAACTGGTGACTGAAGTGACCGTGTCCTTCACAGTGATTCCATCTTTGCTGTGTTCAACATCCTCCTCCTGTTGTTCTTATGCCATGATGTATTTTACCTAAACTCAGTGAATTCTGTTGAGAATGGCAATTTTCCAAATCCAGGGTGTTTAGTATCTTCAGTCAACAACACACCTGGAAGTGCAAACCCACCAATGGCTTCTCTGACAAAATGCTCAAATGAAGCTGCTGTCCGTAGTCCTAATAAGAGCAAGATGTGGAGCAGTGCCTGGAATGGAAACTGTCTCTGAGGCCTTGAAAACAAGGCCAGGACTCCCAGTGCCAAGAACAGAAGGGTAAATTGGATGACATGCCAGCTCTGCTCTAGCCTAAGTCAGACACTCCAAAAGGACATCCCCCAACGCCCTTCACCCACTCACTTGAATGCTGCTGCTGACCACAGTTGTCAAGGGACCTTCCCTTCCTATTCCTCATTTATTCCTGAGTGCAGCCTTGTGTTGGAAGCAGGGGAAAGGGTCTCACTATCCAGCCCTTCCCTCTGTGGCTCTACAATCCCCTAACCCTGGAGCTTGTGCCCCTTCCTGAACTGAGTGTGAATGAAGCACTGATTCCTCCTTGGGGTATGCCGTGCAAGCCGGAATTGGCAAGAACGGCCTCACCCTGATGAGATATCCCAGTTTCGTGCCTTCTCCCTGCCCTTCCACCACCACATGACCAGCTGCCCCCTTTTCTAGGACATAGAAATTGCCAGGAAAGACTTCCTTCTCTTCTCCAGGCAGTACTAGAACCTGTGAATGTCCTACCTGATTAAATGATCTCATTCCACATTTGACTCACTCCCTGGATCCACCCCTCATGTAACCAATAATACCTGTAGAATTGATACATCACTCACAGAAAAATAACTCTGAGGTTAAAAAAAATTTTTTTGGTCTTATCACAAATGCCAGTTCTTTTCTTGTACTTTTTTTTTTCTTTTACAATAAAAAATGTTTACGCCTTTATAAAATTTATTACTTATTTATCAGGCAGAATCAGAGACATTTGATTTCCACTTACTCAACTGGGCCAGTTACCCCTGGGGGTGCAAATACACAGATCTGTTGAAGCTTCAGGTTTTCAACCTGAGGCAGAAAGAGAAAGTTTGAATTGCTTTATTTTACAAGAAACTGATTATCCTCATGTCTCCCTATTTCCTTCAAATCTTATATTAGCGCAAGGAAAAAAATGATCTACATGACAGCCGAGGGGCACAAACAGACACACAGAAACTTGTAGGTCATTCTGCACAGAAGTTTATTGTGAGTACACAGGAGTTTTTCAGCTCAGCAAAGCTTAAAGGAGTTTGTGGGCTGGTGATGAGGACCGATGCTGCTATCCAGGGTGGATGGTGGCGTGGGACCATGCCTGTGACTGCCAGGCTTGGCGCGTGAGCTTGGCACGGAGTGCTGACTCCGAGCTTAGTAGATTCTATCGAAGTGAACTGGACGTTTTCCTCTGTTACAGGCAACACTGTAGTTTCTCAGTAAGGCTACTTGCTGGTATTGACACTGCATGTAAGGTTGTGCAGGTCCTGTGAGGTTGCAGTAGGTAAGGTTCACTGCAGCTGTGCTTCTATAACAATTTCTATCAATTCCATTAAAGCAGGTTATATTTGTGTTGTAACAGACATTAACTATAGCAGCATATATTGTGTGGATGAAAGTATTTTCACCTTTGCACGCCCCCCCGGAACTATTAAAAATAAGGCCGTTAATTGGCTGCATTGCAATGGTGCACTGATTATTGGTCATATTTACGTGCTGAACTTGAAACCACTGAGCCCAGGTTAGGCCACCAGGTGGAGCATGGGAGGAGATCACCATTCCCAAGAGCCCCAGCAGCAGAAGGAGACAAAGCCGGGAATCCTTCTGTGTTGGAACCATGTTTCCTGTAAAAAGAGTAGAATTTCCTGCATCCCTGCCCAAGAGTGACACATCCCTCATCTCTCACCCTGCAGGGGGCTCTGCTGTCACTGAAGTTCTATTTCCTTTTCCTTCAGTGCCCCCAAGTCTGTTTTGTGTCCTAGGTACTAACCCAAACTCAGTCCTCCCACAGTTGCTGTCCCATCACTGGTCCTCCTGTCCCAGCTCAGGAGGCTCAGTGTCTTACCCAGTCTCTGTGCTGTGGCTGCTGTGAGAACAGATCCGGCTGGTTGTTCTGGGGTTCAGGAGCAGTGGGTCTCCCCCGTCCAGCCGAGTGAAGATATAGAGCAGCCCCTGTGGGTGGGGCCGGCAGAGCCAGGAGGGGTCTGAGTCTAAAATGTGAAGAAACCCACAGATTAGCACATGGTCCAGTTGTGCAAGGAGCCTCTTGTTTGGTCCTTTGCCGATCAACACACACCCAAGGACAGCGGCTGCTTTTCTGTGGTACAACTCTAATTGCAGGTGTCTATGCAGAGCAGAGCTCTGCCAGTGTGTCTGGTTTCTGTTGATAAAAACTGCGCTCTGGCTACAGAATGGCCATAGATTCTATGACTCTCCCTGGCGCAGGCACGGAGGAACTGAAGCACAGAAAGGCAGGCCTAGTTCTCAGAACAAATGGAGCCTAAGGGCTGCCTGCACAGGAGGAACCCAGGTCCCCTTCACTGAGTGATCTCCCTGGTTCCCTCTCAGCCAAACGTTCTCCATATCATCACCTCTTGGTGCTGCCAAGTTGAGCTCTGAGTTCCTTGCTGCTTGAAATCCTGAAGGTATATAGTAGTTTCTCATGTATACTTGAGGTTTGTCTTTTCTTCTGTCCTGTATGGGATTCACTTTCGCTTGTTTTAACACTGGCTTGATTTTTTAAAAATTATTTTTATTTTCAACTACAGTTGAGATACATCATCATATTAATTTCAGGTAATGACCAGACATTACATAACTTAATAAGTGATCATCCCAATAAATCCTGTACCCATCCACTACCATGCCTAATTATTAGAATAGTGTTGACTATGTTTCCTATGCTATACTTTACATCCCCATAACTATTCTGTAACAACCAATTTGTACTTCTTAACTTCTTCACCTTTTTCTCCCATTCTTACTACCCCCTTCCCATCTGGTAACCAACAAAAAGTTCTCTGTGTCTATGAGTCTGTTTTGTTCTGCTTGTTCATTTTGTTTGTAGATTCAATTGTTGATAGATATGTTTATTGCTATTTAATTGTTCATTTTCATCTCCTCCTCCTCCTCCTTCTTAAAGACTCTTTCCCATTTCATATAATACTGGTTTGGTGGTGATAAACTCCTTTAGCTTTTTCTTGTCTGGGAAGCTCTTTATCTGTTTTTTGATTCTAAATGATAGCTTTGCAGAATAGGATAATCTTGGTTGTAGCGCCTTGCTTTTTTTTCATCACTCTGAATATTTCTTGCCATTCCCTTTTGGCCTGCAAATTATCTTTTGAGAAATCAGCTGACAGTCTTATGAGAGTGCCCTTGTAGGTAACTAACTGCTTTTCTCTTGCTGCTTTTATTTATTATTATTATTTTTTATCCTCACCCGAGGATATTTTTCCATTTTTTTGTACAGATAGAGTGGGAGGGAGAGAGGAAGAGAGAGAGAGAGAAACAACGATGTGAAGGGACACATCGAGTGGCTGCCACCCGCACGACCAACCAGGGCCGGGGACAAACTGCAACCGAGGGACATGCCCTTAGCGGGAACCGAACCCGGGTCTCTCTGTACCGCAGGTCGATGCTCTAACCGCTGAGCCAAACTGGCCAGGGCTCTCTTGCTGCTTTTAAGATTCTCTGTCTTTAACCTTTTACATTTTAATTATGTTGAATCTTGGTGTGGGACTTTGGGCTTTATCTTGTTTGGGACTCTCTGTGCTTCCTGAACTTGCATGTCTGTTTCCTTCACCAAGTTAAGGAAGTTTTCTGTCATTATTTTTTCAAATAGGTTTTCAATTTCTTGCTCTCTGTCTTTTCCTTCCAGCAGTACCCATGATACAAATGTTGGTACACTTGAAGTTGTCCCTGATGCTCCTTACACTTCCCTCACTTTTTTGGATTCTCTTTTCTTTATGCTGTTCTGATTGAGTGTTTTTTATTTCATTATGTTACAATTTGATGGTTTGATCCTTGGCTCCACTTACTCTACTGTTGATTTCCTGATTCTTTCAGTTAGTGCATCCTTCATTTCTGACTGGTTCTTTTATATGCTGTTGAGGTCCTAAGTTTTTTGAGCATCCTTATAACAAATATTTTGAACTCTGTATCTAATAGATTGCTTATTTCCATTCTCTTTAGTCCTTTTCCTGGAATGTATTCTGTTCTTTCATTTGGGACATGTTTCTTTGTCTTCTCATTTTCACTGCCTCCCTATATTTGTTTCTATGTATTAGGTGTAGTTGCTACATCTCCTAGGCTTGATAGGGTGTCCTAATTTAGTAGGTGTCCTGTAGGGTCCAGTGGCAGAGCCTCCCTGATCTCACCAGTTGGGTGCGTGAGCTGCATCCCCATGTGGGCTGTACACCTTTCTGTTGTAATTGAGTCTTTATTACTGTTGAAATGTCAGTGGGAGGGATTTATTCAGGCTGATCAGCTGCAAGGACTGGCTGTGACCATTGACCATCTACCTCCGACCCTCTTGGAGGATCAGTTGTGCAGGGGTCCACCACACAGAGCAAGACTGAATTCAGCAGGGCTATTGTACCCACTGAGTCTAGCCCTTGAGTGTGTTGCTTGTGGAGCTGATTGGATGGTGGTGCTTTGACGTTGTCTGAAGCTGTCCACAGGGTGTGCTTGCTCTGGGGCTTCTTGGGAGGTGTGGGCCAAGGTTAGCCACTGCCTGCATTCTACCCAATACAACCAGGCATAAGCTACAAAGCAATCTGCAGATGGCTGCTTCTTGTGCTGGACTTGGATGTGCCCAGGCAAGGCCAAACTGTGAACCTAGGCTGGCTGCTGCTAGTGCCTGGCTTGGGGCCACTTAGTAAGAGGTATGGGGCTCACTGAGGCCAGATTTTAGGGAAATCTGAAGCATAAGCCAAGACAGACCATTCCTATGGTAAAGCCACTGGGAAGTTATGGTAAAGCTTGGGAGGGGCCAAAAGTTACGTGGCGCAGGGCCTCAGGGAATCATCAGGGTGGGGCAAACAGTTTGAGCCAGGTTGATGGCATCTCAGATATGGTGCCCATCTGACAGCCCTGTGGGGGAAATGCTCATCAGAGGAGTAATGGCTTCTGCCAGCACTTCTGTCTGAGAGAAAGCTGCCCCTCCAGCTCTTGCCCTGATGCCAAACACTTTATTTCCTCCCCATATGTCTCTGGTGCCTTTCAAGCTGCTGTCCCTGGCTGGAGCTCAGAGGGAGTGAGTTTGAATAAGTTTGTGCACGGGCTCTTTAAGAGGAGCTGCCTGGGACTTCAGAAGCCTTAGCCTCCCTCACCTTTAGCCTCCCTCAGCCTCAATCCATGCTGGTTTTTACAGCCAGAAGTTATGGGAATGTCTTTTCCTGGCACTAGAATCCTGATCTGGGGACCTGGTGTGGGACTGGGACCCCTCACTCCTCAGGAGGGCCCATCACAGCTGATATATATACCTTCTGACTTTTACCGCCACACATGGGTGTGGGACCAGCCCTTCTGCATCTCCCTTCCTACCAGTCTTGATGTAGCTTCTTTAATTTAATAGTTGTAGGACTTCCATTCATTTCAATTTCAGGCAGTTCTGAATGGTGGTTGTTCTGTAGTTTAGTTGTAATCTTCATGTGGTTGTGGGAGGTGATTACTGTGTTTACCTGCTGCCATCTTGACCAGAAGTCCCAACACTGGCTTGGTTTTTCACTTTCTGTGAAGTAGCATAACTTGAAAACACCCAGGGGAATGTCTTTTTGTAGAATCTGCCACAGAACAAACATGCGGTATCATTTAAAGGAGATTGTGCACAGAGGGGACAGATATTTCAGTGGGGCAGGCCTCTTACTAAGAGATGTTAAATTTCTGGTCCAACTTCTAGGTTAGAAAACTGCATTAGACCCTTAAGTTGTATCACATGACCTTCCAACAAAAATAAGTTACATCATTTGTCACTACCATTCTATATTCTTGTTGTCTGAAAATGCCATAATTTTACTCTTGATGTCCATATTTCAACATGGACACAGTGGTGACCTGGTCAGGATCCTGTGCAGAGCTAATTGTGCTCTGCCTTAAAATCCTCTTCGTGCTGAAATTCATTAATAGATTTCATCATGAAGTGAATTCCTTTTATATATATTTTTTATTATTTTAAAATATGTTTTTATTGATTTTTTTAGAGAGAGAGGAAGGGAGAGAGAGATAGAAATATTGATGTAAGAGAGAAACATCAATCGGCTGCCTCCTGCATGCCATTCACTGGGGATCGATCCTGCAACCCAGGCATGTGCCCTGACTGGGAATCGAACTAGGACCTCTCAGTCCATGAGACGATGCTCAATCCCCTGAGCCACACCAGCCGGGTGAAGCAAATTCCTTTTAATGTGTGTTCTGTGGAAATCACCTTTATAAGTGACGAGGACATAAAATTGCCTGAGATGTAGTGTCACTCTTCTGTGTTGCTGACAGCCATATTGAGTAGAAAGATCTGTATTCAAGTGTCTATGTTATGAGGTAAAAGGCGTATACTGTGGTTACAGGAGGTGCATCTGGTCAAACACCTGTTCTGATCAGCACATACAGTGTTATTTATAATATTGGATTTTTGGTGTCAACTTTTCAAACGAGAATAGTTCACATAAATTTGCATGTTTATCTTATTTATAAAAATCAGAAACTGTTCATTGGTGCACTAAATTTCCATTACCATAAGGGATCAATTAAAGTCGAGTCAGCTACTGCCTCTGTTGAAGGGGGCAATTGTTAGAGGTCTCCACTGACCATACTCCCTACTGATTGATGTCCTGTCTGTTCACTCAGTGATGGAACATGCCTGGCTCCTGTAGACAATGTGTTTGTGACCTATTAGCCTTGTTACAAGTGTCTTGATAAGCAACTCACAAGTGTCTTGATAAGCAACTCACATAATAACCTGCCCGATATGCAACCATGCTTTCCCTTTAAAATTGTATTCAGAGCACACCTTCTAAGATTTTTCTCTATACATTTCACTGCCCTCTCCGCCTCCAGGACTAGTGCAGATAATATTCAAGATCTTTTAGAGGGGCTTCTTTATATGAAGCAGGAAAAAATATGTCTATGTTAATTAAAGTACACTGTAAC